ACTGTGTTCAAAAGGAAAAAATAATGTTTTTGTTTTTATCCAGACATTTAAAAAGAATATATTTTAGAACTGTAATCACAATATGTGAAACCGTGATATATTTTTCCAAGGTTATCATACAGTCAGAATCTTATACCAGCCCATGCCTACTTGTGATATCTTCCAAATAATTCCTTGCTCATTGAAATAGCATATGGAATTAATCAAAATCAAATGGATGTAAAATAGATTGTTTATATATATTTAAATGTGTATATTTTCCATTTTAGCTACTTAATTCCTCATATACTTCCACACTTATAGACTAAAATATGTTTTATGATATGAAACTGACCTTTTTTTGTTAATTAGTTGCTTGGAAAAGTATGCAGGTGATATATTTACATTATTTTCTTGTTTAATAAAATGACATATAGAACGTTTTGGTCAAAACAAATCAAATGGCTGCAAAATAGATTGTTTGTATAATTAAATAAATATATTTTCTATTTTAGACTACTTAATTCCTCCTATATTTCCACACTTATAGACTAAAATATGTTTTATGGGTCACACTTTACAATAAGGTTCATTAGTTAATGTTTCTACATATTTAAAGAAATACATTTTTAATTTTAGCTACTTTATTTCTCTTATAACTCCAGACTTATTGACTAAAATATGTTTTATAATATGAAACTGACCTTTTTTTGTTAATTAGTTGCTTGGAGAAGTATGCAGGTGATACATTTACATTATTTTCTTGTTTAATGAAATGGCATATAGAAAGTTTTGATTAAAATAGATCAAATGGCCACAAAATAGATCATTGTTTATATCAAACTGTTAAAATTTTAGCTAAAAAGCCAAGGAGCTATCATCATTGCAACTGTATTGCACAACAAAAATTACTAACATTTGACAGTTTCTTATTTTATGCTGATGTGTGTTTAATGTATAAAATATTTCATGGTTTTGCACCACCACCCCTCAAACAATGTGTGATTGTCGGCAAGGACAATATAAGACAGACTAGGTCATCTGTTAGAGGTGATTGTTCAGTTAAACTTAAGAGAACTGCTTTTGGACAATCAGTTTTTTCAGTTAAAGCAGCAGAAAGATGGAATAAAATACCAGTGTATATCAGAGAGAGCAGCACTTTTAATAATTTTAAAACTGTTCTTAAAATCTGGCTAAAACAAAATCAAATATGCAGCCACTGATTTGATTTCATTTTATTGACAATGATGTATTGTATTTATTGTACTGTAAGTGTATATTGTAATTGTTATAAGTGTTAAATTTGTTACTTCCTGCCCAGGGACTACAGATGTAAATTAGCTTTATAGCTAACTCTGGCACAACATGTCATGTTGTACATTGTCCCTGTATAAATAAATAAAGTAAATAAAAAAATAAAAAATAAAAATAAAAAATATGTAATCAAATGATATTTTCATTTTTAGTCACTTAATTCCTCAAATGATTCCACATGAGATGTATGCTTATGATACTTTTTTTTATTAGATTCGCTTGTTGAATCAACTTTAATCTAATCTTTACAATATTTCCTTCTTTAATGAAATCGCCTAAAGAACGTTTTGATCAAAACAAATCAAATGGCTGCAAAATAGATTGTTTGTATAATTAAATAAATATATTTTCTATTTTAGTCTACTTAATTCCTCCCATATTTTTACACTTATTGACTAAAATATGTTTTATGATATGAAACCAAACTTTTTTGTTAATTAGTTGCTTGGAAAAGTATGCAGGTGATACATTTACATTATTTTCTTGTTGAATTAATTAGCAAATAAAGATCAAAATAAATCAAATGACCACAAATTACACTATCAGAAATAAAGATACAAAATCTGTCACTGTAGCGGTACCTTTTCTTAAAGTTTTTGCAGTTCCTAACATGTCCTTAAAGGTACATATTAAAACCTAAAAAGTACAAATGTGTTCTTCATAGTACCTTAAAGGTAGAAAAGTCAACCTCAAATATACAAAAGTGAAGAAAAGATCTAATGTCCTCCTGTATGGTACAAAAGTGTGCCGATTATTGTTTATACATATTTAAAGAAATATATTTTTAATTTTAGCTACTTTATTTCTCTAATAACTCCTGACTTATTGGCTAAAATATGTTTTATGATATGAAACTGAACTTTTATGTTAATTAGTTGCTTGGAAAAGTTTGCAGTTGATTTAGTTACAATATTTTCTTGTTTAATGAAATTTTGTCAAATATATGGCCCCTAAATAGATCAAAATAAATCAAATGGCCCAAAACTAGATCATTTATACATATTTAAATAAATTTATTATCTATTTTAGTCTACTTAATGCCTTATATATTTCCACACTTATTGACTAAAATATGTTTTATGATATGAAAGCGATTTATTTATTTATTTATTTTTAATTAGTTGCTTGGAAAGGTATGCAGGTGATATATTTACAATATTTTCTTGTTTAATGAAATAGCATATAAAGATCAAAATCAATCAAATGGCCGCAAATTACACTCTCAGAAATAAAGGTCAAAATCTGTCACAGTAGCGGTACCTTTCTAAAAGTTTTTACGGTTCCTAAAAGGTTCTTAAAAGTCCAATTAAAACCTAAAAAGTACAAATGTGTTCTTCATAGTACCTTAAAGGTAGAAAAGTCAACCTTCCAATATACAAAACTGTACCCATAAAAAGGTACTAATGTCCATCATCTGGTATAAAAGTGCACCTTTGGAAAAGGTACCCTCTCAGTGATTTTATACCTTTAATTCTGAGTGTGTAGATTATTGTTTATACATATTTAAAGAAATATATTTTCTATTTTAGTTACCTTTTTTTCCTCATAAAATTTCAAACTTATTGGCTAAAATGTTTCATAATATGAAACTGAACTTTTTTTGTTAATTAGTTGCCTTAAAAAGCATGCTTGTGATATCTTTGCAATATTTTTTGTTTAAGAATTAAAATTAAGAATGTTTTGTCAAATATATGGCCCCCAAATAGATCAAAATATATCAAATGGCCCCAAAATTGATCTATTATACATAAAACATAAAATACAAAAAAATAAAAAATTTTGTGTTGTTAAGTACATTTTGTAATATATTTGGCTGTTTTAGGCTCAGGGATAAAAATAAAATGCAAATACTGTATCATAATTCATTAATTATATTCATTTCATATATTAAATAATGCATATATATTCAAGATGAAAAATAATTAATACATTACTTGTTTATTATTACTTATTTGTTTAAATTATATTATGTTATTGTTTAGTTTATTCACATTGAAATTTATATAAATGTTTTGGTTAAAAAGAGGCAATATTCATATATATTGCAGTAACATTTAGGAAGTGTTTAAATACATATTTTAGGTTTATATATATGTATATATATATATATATATATATATATATATATATATATATATATATATATATATATATATATATAGACATTAATATATATATCAAAACACTCTGAAATAGTAGGATTTATTTTAAAAAAAGTATAAATGAGATTAAATTGACCAGCCTCTGTCGCCATCTAGTGTACAATAAGTCTGTGACACATACAAAATTCTTAGTTGAATTTTACAAAGACTTGTAAAAATATGTAAAACATTGAATTCAAAAACAGTAATCATCTTAATTCATATTAAAACATTTATTTTAATTATAATACGGCAGCATGTACATAAACAGAAACAGGCCGAGATCCTTCAAATTACCCTGAATGTTTAAAGCTAGAGACGTTCTGCATCTCTTCCATTCATTATTTCTACAGAGCCATGAACTCAAGCGCATTTAATGTAGCAATGTTGAAAAGTAGTGCAAGTATTGTTATATTGGTAGTCTGATCTTTAACATTTATTTGTGGGCAGGAAGGAGCCTGGCATTATAAACTCACACACTGTTCGAGGCCCAGGAAAGCAGGAACCTCTGTTTGTTTCTCAGCTTCACACTTCACAGCATCTGTTAGGGATAGTCCATCCAAAACTGAAAATCTCTGTCATCATTTACTCACCCTTTATCTGTTTCAAACCTGTCTGACTTTCTATCGTCTCTAAACACGAGAAGATCACAAGAGAAGAAATGTGTATCGCAAAAGAAATACTTTGCAAAATGTTGAAAACCTGTAACCATTGACTTCTATAGTAGTAAAAAAGAACACTAGTGAAGTCAATGGTTACAGGTTTTCAGCATTTATCAAAATATCTTCCTTTGTGTTCAACAGAATATATTTAGAAAAATGCTGAAAACCTGTAACCATTGACTTCCAAAGAATAGAAAACAAATACTATGGAAGTCAATGGTTACAGGTTTTCAGCATTTTTGCAAAATATCTTCTGCTGTACACAAAATAAGATATTTTGAAAAATGTATCCATACGCTGCATCCCAATTCGCATACTATATCCTCAATAGTAATAGAAAATAAAATTAGTATGTCCCAAACCATAGTTTGTTGGAAAATAGTGTGCCAATGGTTCCCAGATGGGTCTTCTATTTGTGGTAGAAATTCAAAGTGTCTAACCACTATCATTGTCCAGCATAGATTGCATGTGAATTCAATTAGAACTACGTTAGAGACTTTGGTACAAAGTATAAACAAACTAGACACATGGCGAATGCGCGAGACCTGTAAAGTAGAAAGACTTTGGTTTAGGTGTTCGAATGCAAAATATTTAAATCCTGTTTTCCATGCTATTTTGCACTTGCAACAACAATGTGAACATTTATAAAGACGTGTTTGGACCAAGCGGCAACTGCCCGCTCTCCCTGGGGAAGCCAATATGGAAGTAACTAAAACTGCAATTCATCGACTCGCCTTTAGGGGCTGGCTCCAGGAAATCCAAATGTTTTCTGACTGCAATGGTAAATTGGCCAAGTTTACAGCTGATAATAACATGTTTACAACCTGGTACAAAGGATGGTTTTGGTTCATATAGCTAATATTATCCTACATGACAACTGCGAGAGAGGTGAATTTTTCATTATAACTCATTCGTTTAGTTTTTATTAGGTTTTATTAAGTCTGCATTATTAAAGGCGTGGCCACTTGAGTGACAGCTAAGTCTCGCTGGTCGCCATCACTTCATCTCAGCTGATTCCGGCTGATTAGCTGCTGAACTCGGCATATACGTGTTTTTGTTTGTTTTATGTGGCTTTACACAGTCAATTGCCTTTTGGAATTATTTCCTACAATTATCAGATGATATGGCACTATGTGTGCATTTAATTGTGCTCACAAACTGTTCAAGTTGCCTCCATTTCCCAGGTAAGTGAAATTATATGCTTACCATATCTATAAATATATTTGTTTTACTTAAGATCAATTATCATATATAATTTTCTTTAGACCTGTACAGCACTCCAGAATCTGACAGATTGATTAGCTGTAGGCTCTAAAACAGTCGTCTGAAACGTTGTAATACAGTGTCATGCCTGGATTTCATAAAAAACCTTGCATTTACTAAAACAGACTTTATCTGAAGTGTTTGGAAGTAATTTGTGTTTTCCTCTTGTATAAAACGTCACAAGAACAATGTTTGCTTGCTCAATTCATTACAACAGTGTTTTTAAATGTCTAAACACTTTATTGATATAGCGTACAACCAAGCACATGTGGTCAGAACACAAACGAGTCGCAGGTTTAAGCGTTTCTCCCAAAGAATAGCCCGCCTAAGCAAAATGCCAGCAGGTGTCTGTAGCTCTGCTCACTCTCCGCCTCTTTGCCCTTGTTTGGTATCCCCCGGTCGGTGCGAGGACGCGCTAACTAAATGGCGACAAGTGGCCACCCCTACTTGTAGCTTCTTTTAAGTTCTTCAGAAAACTATGGGTGACGTCACGAATACGACTTCCATATCTTTTACAGTCTAGAGCTGCGTCCCAAATGGCACACTATACACTATGCACTCATGCACTATGTACTTATGCACTTACACACTCTACGGGATAGTATATGTATGTAGTGGCGTCCCAAATGGCACACTAATGTTTTTTTACTAAACAGAAATTCAAACCGTTTCCCTGATGACGTTTGACGGTCGCCAAATCCGTAAAATAAACGACCGAATTATCAAATATTACCTGCCATGAGTATAACCGCATTCACCATCGGGAGGCGCTATAATCACTCTCGTAGGAGAATTTTGCTTTCAACATCCAAAATAAATAAAGTTATTCAACATGTGCGTCCAATAGCTCCGCCCCTTCCACTACGTAAGCAAACCTGCGGTCATTGAGTGCGTGAAGTGTCCATCATTACACACTTCATTTTACAGGCTGAATGAGTGCATCATCCGGGTAATTAAAGTGCACTTATGATTTTTAGACTTTTCAGTGTGAACACACTACTTACACTATTTATACTACAAAATGGCGTAGAATAGTGCATAAGTATGCGATTTGGGACGCAGCTTATGGTTTGGACAATAACTTCTGAATGCATATTTATGCAAAGACCTGTGGAGATTTCTCTGCATGAAAGACTCGTGAATAGCAGATAAACCTGACGCTTCTTCTTCAGTAAGGTATTAATATAAATATGAAAGAAACGTGGATTATGTGTGAAGATGAATGACAGGGCCCTTAACTAAGCAACATAACGGTCTGTTAATGAGGAAGTAGGATGTCCCAAAGCTAACCTACTCTTTTCTTACACACTCAAAAGTATGTCCTTTTTCTTCACAAAAAAGTATATACTTTGAGAACAGAGTATAAGTGGGTGAATTGGGATTGACTTCCATAGTATTTGTTTTTCCTTGTATGGAAATCAATGGTTACAGGATTTCAGCAATTTTTCAAAATGTCTTCTTTTGTGTTCAAATGAAGGTATTTAGTGAAATGCTGAAATCGATTAACTATTTCCATAATAGGAAAAGCAAATACTATTAAAGTCAATTGCTGTGTCACACCTTACGCTTGTATACACCGTTCTAAAAGTATGTATTGACAGAGCAATTGACTTGCATGGTATTTGTTTTTTTTTTTCTACTATGGTAGTGAGTGCTTACGGGTTTTCAGGATTTTTCTAAATATCTTATTTTATGTTCAACAGCATAAGGAAACCATTTAAGGGAGAGTAAATAGTGAGTACATTTTCATTTTTGGGTGAACTATCCCTTTAATGAACAGGTTTAAGCTCCGTTCTCTGTTCATCCATTCTTCCGCCCTGAACCTTCAGCAACAAAGAAAAGAAATCCTCATCGTCCATCGGCCCTGGAGCTGCACTGCGCTGCTCCTCCAGACGCCCCTGGGCCTGATCAAATCAAATAGAATAAAGTTACACTAAGCAAGACTAACTTAAATAATGTTACTCTTTTTTAGTTGCTTTGGATGGTGCCTGCTAAAAAATAAATATGTAGAAAATACAAAAAACTTTGATTTAGACAAAATCCATAATTAGATGATAATGATGATGATTGGTGGTTAAATTTAAGTAATAATTTAAAAATAAAATTAAGAATAGCCATGAAAGGGAAAAAAATGAAAGAAATATATCTTCCTTTGTGTTTATTAGTATATTTTGAAAAATGCTTACAGGTCATTGATTACAGATTTTCAGCATTTTTCAAATTATCTTCTTTTTTGTTCAAAACTGTATCCATTGACTTCCATAGTAATTTTTTTTTATTATAGAAGTCAATGGTTATAGGTTTTCAGCATTTTTTTAAATATCTTCTGTTTGCAACAATAGATTTTTTTTGAAAAATGCTTAACCTGTAACCATCGACTTCTATAATAAAAAACAAATACCATGGAAGTCAATGATTACAGGTTTTCAGCATTTTTCAAAATATCTGCTTTTTTCAACAAAAGATATTTTGAAAAATTATTTAAATCTGTAACCATTGACTTCTGTAGGATTTGCTTTTTCTTACTATATAAGTCAATGGTTACAGGTTTTCAGCATTTTTCAAAATAGTCCATAATTAGATGAATAATATGATAATTACTGGTCGAATTTAAGTAATAATCTTTTTTTTTTTTAATTACATTAAGAATAGCATTGAAGGGAAAAAAGAAAGAAAAATATCTTTTGTATTAAACAGAAGATATTTTGAAAAATGCTGAAAACCTGTAACAATTGACTTCCATTGTACTTGTTTTTTTAAATTATACAAGTAGTTGTTTAAAGTTTTTCAGCATTTTAATAAATATCTGCTGTTTTCAACAAAATACAATTTGAAAAATGCTTAAAATCTGTAACCATTGACTTCTGTAGTATTTGCTTTTTCTTACTATATAAGTCAATGGTTACAGGTTCTCAGCATTTTTCAAAATAATCTATAATTAGATGAATATGGTGATTATTATAGGTCAAAATTAAGTAATAATCATTAAAGAAAAAAGTAAGAATAGCATTAAAGGGGAAAAAGAGGGAAAATATATTTTTGTTTTTAACCGAAGGTTGTTTGAAAAATGCTTTAAACCTGTAATCTTTGACTTCCATCGTATTTGTTTTTTCTTATAGAAGTCAATGGTTACAGATTTTCAGCGTTTTTCAAAATATATTTCTTTTGTGTTCAAAAGAAGATATTCAGAAAAATGCTTAAAATCTGTAACCATTGACTTTTATAGTATTTGCTTTTTCTTACTATACAAGTCAATGGTTACAGATTATCAGCATTTTTCCAAATTGGATGATTGTGATAATGATTAACGGTTAAATTTAAGTAATAATATATTTTAAATACAGTAAGAATAGCCTCACATGTGTTTAGGGCATTAGGGAGTATACAACTCTATACATAAAATGTGTGTGTTACAGTTTGTGTTTTTGTCTGCGTACAGGTTTTTGTGGTTTATGAGGACAAAACTGTATAATGACATGCTTTGATCTTGTATTTTTTTACGAGGACATGCCTTGTGTCTTTGTAACTAAAAACTGTTAAAAACTAATTTAATGAGGTCTTTTCACTTTCAGAATATACCACAGGTTTTCTATGAGAGTAAGGGCCTACTTACACTATGCCATCCGTACCGTGTCCAGGCCCGTTTCCCGGATCGTTTGAGAAGTGTGAGTGCGCTGAATCGGGCTCAAGCACGGTTCACTTGGCCGGCCCTGGCCCGGTTGGAAGAGGTGGGCCTGAGCGCGGTTCACTTGTGCTTTGGCGCGTTACACTTGTAGTGTGAGTGCAAAACGTGCCAAAGCCCGAAACTGAAAGCGAGACGTGACTTTTAAGGGGCTCTTTCATATGAATTTATTAATCAATTTTACTGTTCAATGAACGCAAACTGCCGTAGTTTATTAAAGACGCAAACCCCTCACTGCATGACAGCTGCGCACCGTCAGCAGACCTCCTCATTTCTGCAGCACGAGGGCTTTATGACTGTTTATGAGCGCCAAAAGTGGTGGATCTGTTCGGCGAATTATCTGACTGCGTGTCACCGCATCCCTAAGGACTGTTTGGCGAAACATTTGACTGCATGTCACTGCATATCAAATGACTGTAACTATATAAATAGAGAAATCTCCACTGTGCTGCTGAGTGAGAGAGCGCTTCTCACTGAACAGCACAGCAGCGATGACGTAAGCGTGCCGAGGCCCGATTGTGGTGTGAGTGCGGGCCGTCGGGGGAGTAGGGAGGGAGGACAAGCGTGCTTTGGCCCTGTTCGAGGCAACTGTACATAGTGTGAGTACGGCCTTAGATTTAGGGCTAGGGGTGAGGTAAGGCCCGGTAAGACACAGTTTTTTCAAATTACTTATTTAAATTAAGCTGAAACATCTCAACTTGTTGTGCTTTTTTGCACCAACATAAAAGTTTTATGTTCAATCCACTTAAACTTGTTAAAAAAATAAGTTAACTTAATTCTTTGATGTTCTGACACAAATCGATAATGTGGAACCCAGCATTTTTTAGAGTACACTAAAAAATGCTGGGTTCCACACCATCGATTTGTGTTGGGACAACATGAAGGAATTAAGTTAACTTAGTGTTTACATATTTAAGTGGATTGAACATAAAACTATTAAGTTATTACTAAAAATAACTCAAAAACTGTGTTGTTTCAGCTCATTTTAAGTAAGTTGTTTGAGCAAATAGCAAATATATATATTTTTTGAGTGTACAGTATAAAATGCATTATGCCTGTGAAGAGTCCTCATAAACCACCAAAACCAACATGTGTCTCTGTGTGTGGTTTTTTATTTTTCAAAATGGCTGAACAACATCTGGGAAGCTCTTACTTGTGTGTTGACGATCATGTTGTAGAAGTCCTCGTTGGGTGTTTGCGTGGGAACTGTCCGGTTGACCTCTGTGGTCCTCCAGATGCTGCTCTTCCTCTCTTTGCGTTTGTTCAGAGGAGCTGGAGGAGCGGAGGGAGCGTCCTGCAGTTTTGCTCTCTGGTCATCCAGTCGACGACCCTGAGATGTCGCCAGCAAATCGAAGAACTCCTCCTTCTGCAGCGATGTCATGGAGGAAAACACCACTGTTGGGGATCATATGACCAGTGAGGAAAATCATACTCAAGTAAAAGTACCATTACTTGCCAAAAAATGTAGTGCTAGGAGAGTAAAAGTATCTGTTCTTAATACTACTTAAATTAGTTGTCAAATTTTGCTGAGATTCTAGTGCATTTGCCCACCCCAGAGAGTTCATAACAACTGCAGAAAGTCAACCAGGGGTGCGTTTCCGGAAACCATTGTTAGCCAACTAAGGTCGCAAGTTGTGTCCTTACAAACATAGTTTGTTGATTTAGCGTTTGCCAAATCCATCGTTCCAACGAACATTCGCATTCCAACGCAATCTCACGGCAATTCGTAACTTTTTGATTTAGTGGCTAATTCGTATGAATTCGTACGATCTAATTCGTACAATTTAGTACGATTTGCTCATCCCCCAATGACGGTTGGGGTTAGGTGCCACGCCTCCTTTTTAAAATCGGATCATTTCGTACGACTGAACTCGTACGAACTCGTACGAATTAGCCACTAAACTGGCAAAACGTAAAATACTTACGTTTTCTCGTGAGATCAGGCTGGCTATTTCCACGTATCCCCCCTATGCCCTATTCATTTAGAACATTCTAACATTTAAACTTAAAATGATTTAAAAATAAAAAGCATTAAGGTCATCTCTCTTAGGTGTAATTTGCTTTGAAAGTATTTTTACAGTTCATATTTAGCGATCTTCATGTTCACAAGTGCGCTCTCTTTGCAGTGCACTTTGAAAACATTGATGCGATTTTGAACACACATGGCTCATGACGACAGCTATTGACCTATTATTTAAAAGCGGAATTTACGTTACGTCTCCAAAGCTTGTGAAAACAAAAAACATAGCATACGTCAATATTTAAAATTACAGTAGGTTATTTGTTAAGTATCTGTACTGTATATGACATGGGCCTGCTGGTTAGAACATTACTGTGGTGGTTTGCATGTGTCGAATTGTAAAAGTAGACTTTTCAAAAAATTATTAAATAAATAAACAATATTTCACTTAATAATAATAATCGTCATTATGATCATCATCATCAATAATACTATTTATATTATTATTAAAGTAGGATTATTTTCATAATAATGAATATGAATAATAAATATTAAATTTAATTTCTTAATAAATCAGTACACTGCTTCAGTATTTCGCTTTCACGCTTATACTTAAGAATTTTAGCAAAAACTTCAGATATGTTGGTTGGGTCTTTTTTACCAACTAAGTTTGTCGACACCATTATAGCGACACAGATCACTCTGCCTATTCATGCCAGAGTCCTGTGGAAAAAATGATTGACAGGTGGTAATTTGTATGTAACTTATCTTTATTTAATTAAGATTTGGTTATGGGAAAAAGAGAGACCATGCGGGTCAGGTAGTTGAAATTAATTAGTTTAATAATTAATAAATAATTAATTTACCGCCACCTACGACACAGATGCAAGAAGGGTCTAGCTGCAGACCAGATGCAGATGCATGCTGAGCTGCTTGCAGTGCTATTAATGTGCACACCTAACCCCAGTCCCTAACCCTACCGATCACAGTGACATCACTAGCTCCATTGAGTGCATAGTGTCTGAGACTGAAAGTATGAGACCACATGTGGGCAGTCAGATACTATTGAAAATAGTGGAACAAAATGATCAATACAGCACTAAAAACGTACTGGAGTAAAAGTAAATGTACACATTTAAAAAAAAAAACTACTTTGTAAACTACAATTCCAGATAAAAGCTACTCAATTACAGTAGTTTTTGTCACGATCGTGGTTAGGGAAAGGAACAGGCTCAGCAAATAATGGGTGTTTATTAACAAAAAAATAAAAACAAAAGGCAAAACAAAACTACCCCGAGGGGGAAAACATTAACAAAACACACAAACAAACTTGGCTGGGCTGGCAAGACAAGACTGCAGCAGGAACACAGAGTAGACGACAAACTGGCACAGAACAGAAGACATGAGGAGATTATAAGCAGGAGAAAATTAACACACAACAGATGAACATAATTAACTAATAATGGGTTAACAAGTGGGGTGGGACTAGACAATAGACAGGAGAGCGCATGACAAAGACAAGACAAGACAAGCCATGCGCTCACATAAAACAGGACAAGAACATGCAGCCAATGAGAGAACTCATTAACCGCATGTTCATGACAACTCAAGCACAACACTGAAGCACACGACAAAAGCACGTGACCACAATGTAAAGCCACGTGCTTTGACAACAGAGGCAAGACACGAGCACACGATGAATGAAAACACTCACCGTGCGCTCACACATGCAGCGTGCATGCATCATCCCAGCGCCGACCAAAACCAACAAGACTGAGACGCTGGGAATGAAACACCACGCTGCAGACAGACGAAAACACAAACACGAGTACAAGAGCGCGCGCGTCCGAGGCACGCAAAGCCCGCGCGGCCGCATCAAGCGGGAGCACGCACACTGCGTACACCCACGACGGCGCGTGCGCACAGAGACAGAAACAAGTGCTCGACCCAAGAAAATTCGAGCCGAGCACAACAGGACTAGTGTCTGGATTCTGCCACCAAAACAAGAATTTACAAAACCAGAGTGGCAGAACCCTGACAGTTTTAAGTATTTGTAATTCATTACTTTACACCACTGCATATGATTTACATGAGCATTGCTGAGGTCCTGGTTCACAGTGTTTTCTCTAATTATTAGCTGTTGTAGAATAGGTGTGTGTTTACCTCTCTGGCTGTGGCGAGGCGTGCTGGGCTCAGAGTAGCATCTCCTGCGGCGCTCCATGCGAAACGAGCAGCGCTGGTCATTGAGCCGACGGCCCTCCTGTATCGTATATAACAGCTCACACAGAGCATCAGGAAAATCTGGAGATAATCTGTGAACCTGAACGACAAATCATCATTAGCAAATACTCGGCACAGGGAATACAAATTTGATATTAATGTACTCATCCTCAGGACACCTAAGATTTGTTTCTTCAGTGCAACATAAAAGAAGATTTGGTATCACTTTAGTATAGGGAGCAATTCCCACGGTCCCACTTTATATTAAGTGTCCTTAACTACTATGTACTTGAATCAAAAAATAAATACAATGTACTTACTGTGTTTATAATGTATTTGAGAACACTTGTGGTGCTCTTGAGTTGGGATAGGGGTAGGGTTATGGACAGGTTTGGTGGTGTGGGTAGGTTTAAGGGTGGGTTAAGGTGTATGGAATAGTCAGCAGTGTATTTACAAATGTAGTTACAGAAGTTAATTACAGATGTAATTACATACCGGTATTTAATCAAGCATAAGTACTCAATAAATACATGTATTTACACAATAAGTACATTGTAACAAACTATTAATTCCTGTGTAAGTACATATTAGTTAAGGCCACTTAATATAAAGTGGGACCATTCCCACTATTAACTTGTAACTTATTGTGCTTATATATATTGTGCTTATATTGTGATTATAAGGATAATGGCTGTTCATTATTACGTCAAAAGTGCATACTCTGCATGATCTTATTCTACATGCTTAATCCTACCTTAATATCTAAACTACTATGTTAATAACTATTAATAAGCAGCAAAGTATTAGAATATTGAGCTAAAAGGCTTAGTTAATGTTTTGTTAATAGCAAGTATTGTACCTTAAAATAAAGTGTTCAATTCAATTAGTTTACGTGTTTAGCGCCTTTCATAAATAATTATCGTTCCAAAGCAGCTCCACAAACAGGAGCACATCATTACATTACAGTTAGAATCAAGTTTGACTAAAGATGTTTAGCTAAAAATGAGGTTCTTGGTGATTTTAAAAGTACAAGTGCAAGCCATTAAGCATAATAAATAAATAAATAAATAAATAAATAAATAAATAAATAAAAATAAAGCAAAAGAAAACCAAATGAAAACCTCTCCCCTCTGATTATATATTGACGTATTATAAAGAGATAGGATGAACCTATGCGATAAACTGAATATTATTTAATTAATTGCCTTTTAAGAGCTGTTTCTTAAGATGAGTGTAAATAATATTCAGTTTTTTCACATCATAAAACCTCCGTATCATCTCAAGTCACGGCTCATATTTAGCTTGTTTTTTTTTCACATCTTGAATGGGTGCTGGCAGCCGTTGACTTACACGTTACGAATCACTAAGCACCATGTTTTTAATGAAAAATCTACTTTAATAATCTATTGCTGAAAAAGACACCAAACTGAGGATGATTAACAGCTAATTTTAATTTAACTTAGGAAAGTAACATCCAATACTTAATTCCTGTTGCAAATTTGAAATAACAATTGTTTGCAAATGAATGAAAATATTACAATCTACTTTTGTAAATTCGGTCACTTTTTATTTTGATGGTCAGTTTGTTGCATTAGGTTACATTGCATCTACATGCCAACTAATACTCATTAGATTACAAGCATACTGTTAGATTGGGGTTAGGGTTGGGATTAGGGTAAATTGACATGCACTGGCAAAGTTTCTTATAGTCAGTTAAATGTCTGCTGAAAGGAGCAGACAGTCTACTAATTCTCAAATGGACCATCAAAATAAAGTTTT